ACTTAAGGCGTGCGTGGCGTGGGGCGGGTTCTGCAAACAGGCGGGCGCCCTTCCTCGGCTTTGCGTTTTCTGCCGCAAATAGCGGGTCCCGCAACTCATCCTTAACCCATCTTCTCAGTCTCGGTTCACTGCCAGACGACTGGAGGGCCTTAAATTGGTCCCGGGCTCTATCTTGTAATCCACGGCCCCTCCCTTGGGTAATGTCTCACGCCCTTCACCTAACCTTCTGAGAGACGTGGTCCCGCCCTTGCATCACCTCGGTTGGTGATTTAATTTAATAAGGGAAAAAGAGATATAAGACAGATATCAAAATATCTACCACACAGGAAAAAGGTAGGGAAGTTGAAAAGGACCTGAGGGTAATTAGAATCACGGAATGCATTTCTAGGGGAAGCGTAATGATAAACTAGTCGCCCAGTATTTCAGATAAGCAATTGAGTCAAAAGGGCACCTAAGTATCAATGATAGAACCTTCCTTCTTGCCACCTACACCCAAGCATCTGCCTGCTCCTGATCAGTTTTCACCTTTTTCCTGAACTGTTCCTAAGGAAGGACCAAAAAATGCAGTATTCTATTATTTTAAAATCTTCTCATTGAAAATATGATGATCCTACCAGTATTTAGGTACAGAATAGTTCATTTGAGTTATACTGGTCGAGCATCACAGTAAGAGGCCCTTTTTGCCTTGGGGGGGATCAATCAGTGGTAAACCTGGATCTAAGTCCCTACCTCCAGAGGCTTTGAGTCCAGAACTGCTTTTCCTGTTTGAAAGTTTGCTAGCAAAGTCCTCATATTTGTAATTTTTTCTTAAAGACGCTTCAATTGGGAAGTACCGCTTAAAACTTAATGAAAGTCAAATTACCTTTATGTGTGTATCCTCTTACCACATCTGTGTTGCAGTTTATCTGATTGCCAGAGTACATTTAGTCTCCCTCCAGTAAACTTCCAAATCATGAGATGTTGGCCAAGGGCCAAATGTTTTTGATGATAGAAAATGACAGAAACTAGAAAGAAAAAAAAAAGAATGTAGTTGTTTCATTTTTCTGATTAAAATATGTATTAGCTCACTTAATATTACACTTGAATGAGATAGGTTAAAATACTAAAAACAGTAACTATAACACTATATCAAGTATACATTTTTTTCATGGTGTATAGTTAACATAGTCATTGGGCACAGTGTTTATTAAATACCAAACTTTTTGATACAGTTCGAAGAAATGTATGAAATATTACAGATATCTTAATCCTTTGTGAGTTTAAA